CATTCCTGAATGGTGGGCCTCATCAAAGGGGTTTCCAGGCTGCATTTGGCCCACAGGCCACAGTTTGGGAATCTGTGCGCCAAAGGGTACAGTTTGAACAAATACGTGTACAGGAGATGAGGAAAGGAGTACATCTCTGGGGATGCTTAGGTGGACCTTTTTCTTTTCTGAATACTTGACCAACAGAGAGGAGCTTGAAAATCTCTGCTTACACCTGTGACATACACTACACCTCAATACTTCAGAAAACCATTGGTCATTGGGTACATGAAAACAATCCTTCATTCCCTAAAGGCTAGTCTTTTTTTCTCAGAACCTGAGAACAGACAACTGAACTTTGGATCTATAAAGCAATATTAATTGACACTTAAATGTCTGGCTGTATTCCTCTTCTCTTTGTACATCAGCCATCTTTTCCGTGGACTTGCTATTTCTGCAAGAATCTGGAAGCTTCACACTCCCCGACTATTTTTTTTAAAGAATAGCTTAGGCCTCTCATTCCTAACCGACTAAAACTTGGCACTGCTGAAGAATCACTAAGAACTTGTCCCAGGTAACAGCATGTGGCAGTCATGGCTTGCTCCACTATGAACTCCTTATTTGGACAAATTAAAAAGAGAGAGAGAGACAGACAGTAAAAATGATTATGTATCTAGAAAACATGACATATAAGGAAAAATTGGAAGAACTGGGAACATTTAACTAGAAGAAAAGATGCACTTGATACATTTACAGATACAAAAAAGATTGTTTTGAAGAGGGTGGTAATCAACTGTTCCCTGTGTTTATAGGAGAAAGGTGAAGAAGTAAAATGGGTTTAATTTGCCACAAGTTAAATTTAATCTCGATATTAGGAAGAACTTTCATAACGATGAGGTTGGTTAAATGCTGGAACAGATTACCATTAGAATTGCCATCTTTAGAAGTTTTTAAGTGGAAGTTGGACAAACAGGATCTCTGGTATGGTTAGAGATCCTCTTTGATCAGGGGGCTGGACTATATAACCCCTGAGGTCCCTTCTAGCCTTTGTTTTTCTGTGATTCTATACTTTTGGCTAAGACTTTAGAGGGGTGATTTTGGATGCAAGCTTACCTTATTTCAGGGCTATCACCTTTCTTATAAGATTTCTTCAGACAAATACAACCTAAAAAAAGGAGGACCTCTTTACCTAATTTTTGTAGATGCCCAGGCAAATGTATTTCATGCTTTGGCATCTTGGGTACCTCCAAGTCGCCTTTTGATGATAGAGCCCACAAACCTATTTTGCACGCTCCCAAACGAAACAGTTTTTAGTCTAGTTAAGGAGAAGCTTGAGAGAGTCCAGAGAAGAGCCACGCATGTGATCAGAGGTCAGGGAAGCAGACGCTGCAATGACAGGCTGAGAGCCCTGAGGCTCTTTAGCCTGGAAAAGCGCAGGCTCAGGGGTGATCTGATGGCCACCTATAAGTTTATCAGGGGTGACCACCAGTATCTGGGGGAACGTTTGTTCACCAGAGCCCCCCAAGGGATGACGACTAGGTCGAATGGTCATAAACTACTTCAAGACCGTTTCAGGCTGGACATAAGGAAGAATTTCTTTACTGTCCGAGCCCCCAAGGTCTGGAACAGCCTGCCACCGGAGGTGGTTCAAGCACCTACATTGAACACCTTCAAGATGAAACTGGATGCTTATCTTGCTGGGATCCTATGACCCCAGCTGACTTCCTGGCCTTTGGGCAGGGGGCTGGACTCGATGATCTTCCAAGGTCCCTTCCAGCCCTAATGTCTATGAAATCTAGTTCTTTGTTCCTTTCCTAAGATTCCTTTAGAAATTGGATTCCTGAAAGTAAAAGACCATGGAAAGAAATTCCTGCAAATTGTTACGATGTTATCTAAGTTAGGATCCCAACAAATCTAATATTAGCTCTATTGCAGAACTGAATAGTTATGTTATCTAATATAGCTCTGTTAGTATACCAATATTAGTCTATAATAGGATTTAAGTGACCGTTTTTATGGGTTTTAGATAAACATTTTACTCAAGAGGCTTTTTCTTGATGTCTAATGACT